GTCTCTTTTACCTCAGTCTCGCGTATATCCTAGTACCAACGATCCCCATACTATGCAAATACCGGAATTGCGACATCAAACGTCGACAGTGGCGTGCCAGGTAGGGGGATTTTGGTGCTTCAGGATTTTGACAAGATGGGTTCAAAAGATGGATTCTCCGACAATAAGCTACTCGACAACTTCGCCGTGGGGATGTCTCTCGACGAGATCGGAACCATCGTCATCAACAACTCGATCTCTCGAGATCGACCGAGCCTCAAGATACGCGGCGTACCAAAAGATGTCAGATCATGTGATGTCGAACGAGTACGCTACAAGGTAATTGGTAGATTGTTTTTTTAAATTAATCTACTAATTTCGTAGATACATCCGGTATGTATCTACAAAGGTACGCAATATTTTATATGCAATTTATCGTACCTATTCAGATCATACAGAATTGTCAGATCTATAATCTGTTATGTTTACCTAGAGCATGTTTTTTTATACAATATCTGTTGCGCGAGTGTCCCCGATGTTAAATCGACTACGGTCTAACACTGGGGGCTCGCTCTATTTTCTTCTGTATAAATCATGCTTGTTTCCGGTCTATATAATGCCTGATATTTACATCTGCTCGTTACATCCAGATAGTACTAGAAGATCCATGCAGTTTTTTGAGTACATACTCGATATTATCTGCTATATGTCTTGCCTTCTAGACAATATTTTTCAGGAACAATTGAGCACTCGAGTAGGATGTGGTCGAGTACACCGTATTGTCGAGAACGTTCTTGACAAATGCATAGTCGTCGCTCCCAACCTACCAACGAAGACCGACAACCTATCTCATAGCACCGGCCATGGCTGGACTACTCGGGAAAAGGCTGTTAAAGGATAATTGCTCGCGAACGATGTCGGCTTGATCACCCGACATGATCGCGGACGGACATCCGGATATGCTACGAGTTGGGTATGTGAGTCATGCTGGCCACATGAGATACACATGTAATAAACCAACTCTAGCAACTTCCATTGGTGCTCGAGAGATAATTCTACGCGCTGGTCCCCAAACCAGCAAACCCGTAGCAATCTCTCACACCGCGACTTCCATTGGTGCTAGAAAGATAATTCTACGCGCTGGTCCTCGAACCAGCAAACCCGTAGCAATCTCTCACACCGCGACTTCCATTGGTGCTAGAGGGATAATTCTACGTGCTGGTCCTCGAACCAGTAAACCCGTAAACCCGTAGCAATCTCTCACACCGCGACTTCCATTGGTGCTCGAGAGATAATTCTACGCGCTGGTTCTCGAACCAGCAAACCCGTAGCAATCTCTCACACCGCGACTTCCGTTGGTGCTCGAGAGATAATTCTACGCGCTGGTCCTCGAACCAGCAAACCCGTAGCAATCCCTCACACCGCGACTTCCGTTGGTGCTCGAGAGATAATTCTACGCGCTGGTCCTCGAACCAGCAAACCTGTAGCAATCCCTCACACCGCGACTTCCGTTGGTGCTAGAGAGATAATTCTACGCGCTGGTCCTCGAACCAGCAAACCCGTAGCAATCCCTCACACCGTGACTTCCGTTGGTGCTCGAGAGATAATTCTACGCGTTGGTTCTCGAACCAGTAAACCGTAGCAATCTCCCACTATTTCTACTTCAAGTGATCGAGTTATGACTACTACCTAGTCCTTGACCAGAGGTGCAGCGATTCTCCCACTACCTGTACCTCAACAAAGTTGGTATCTGGTACACAATATCGCCAAGTGTTTTACCCAGAGATCCCTTACCACGACGGCACCTATAGTTGAAACATATCCTCATGTCCCTTTACGCCGTCCTGACAAGGCCTTTGAGGAACCTAAGGGAACTTCGGCTGGGGACGCCCAGAGCGGATAAGGCCTTGTCGGATCCTGTAGAGACGAAAGACCATGTAAGATCTGGTCGTGTAAGAGTTCTCGCCATGCGTATTAACCAAGCCGTGTAATTGGAAATGGACTTTCCAACTTCACGGCTGGGGGTTAGGATCAGTGCTTATTCAACCGAGGCAGGTCGAAGGTCTAAGAGCCTTATCCTCCGAGAACGATTCTCCGACGACAAGGCTAGGGGCTAAGGAGAGTGTATGACTCAACAAACTGACTGATCGAAGTCGGTAAAAGAGAAGACGCTCATATACAAAACATTGGTCTGTAAGTTTAATTCATTTTCAATTTTTCATACATATTATAACATGTCACCCTTTGAGCATTCGCTCGGGGGCTATTTCTATCTAATATTTTTTTCTGAGTATTGATTTCAGGAAAATTCTATTCGACATTGTTGAAGACTTCATGTCTCTATGGTTCTACACCAAGATCGACTAAGGCGAGTACAACAAATGTTGACAAGGCTCCGTCGCAGATTCTGCGCCTTCTCGATCACTCGAGAACGGTTAGTGGATCTCGACAAGGATTACGGAATGAAGAGATGGTGTACCCGCCGAGATAAAATTTCTTGACTTCAATCTAAATTCTCGATTACAGCAAGATGGGAGACTTAGTCGTATGCTCTATACTTTTTTGGTTGACGACGGAGATTTGACTCAGACAAACCCTTTAGGTGCCCGCACGAGGCTAATAAAGGAAGTCTAACGTTATCTCTGAACTCACCGAGAACGGTCACGTGAGCTCGATAACAGTTACTCCAAGGTCTGCGGTTGAGAATATGAATTTGTTCATTTGCATTGAAGTCGGGGGCTACTGTCAGGGTTATGGATACCACATACCTAATAGTAGTTGACTAAATCTCGGCAGGACCCACCACATACCATGTCCTATATGGAAACAAACTGCGGATATAGGATGAGTTCCGGATAAGGAAAGACAACCAGAGTTATACATGAAAACGACAAGGACTACTCGGATTGTATCCATATTGGTTTCCCTAGTTCTACTTGGACAAGAGGACATCTATGGGTATAAATACAAGGCCCCTAGGAGGAGAGGGGGAGAACCAATACAATCAACACCCACCACAATCTACGGACAACATAGATGCCACAAAGCCATAAGCCAATACAAGCCTACATACGCCAAGACAAGACGCCGGATATCGACTTCAGAGATAGGCACGGCTAGTCCCCTACGGTGTCTCCGGATACTGTCAGGAGAGATGAAAGCACTATCTCTGATCTCGTCGGGCACGAACTCGAGGAGGAAGACTACCCTGTTGTCGACTACGAGTCAGACCTTCAGACCGCTATGTCGACAATAGTTAGATAGGCTACCCTAAATATTGTACTTGTGTGATTATGGTGAATAAGAGCAACGACCGGCTTCGGCCAACAGGATGTAGGGTTATTACCCGACAATTCAGTGGCCCGAACATGTATAAAAATCCTCGCCTCCGTCTCTTTTACCTCAGTCCCGCGTATATCCTAGTACCAACGATCCCCATACTATGTAAATACCGGAATCGCGACATCAAACGTCGACACTTGTGTTGATGATTTTATCTATCTCAGATATATCGAAGGTCTTCGGAGGTGTATGGTGTACGTGTATGTTTATATTATATTAGTGGGTGTGCGTAAGTGTATAGGAGTGCATAATTAATACTTGTACTATGTTTTGAAAAAGAATGATTTATTATGTTTTTTCTCTCTATGTTAATTAAATTTGATATTGTTTGCTTGTGCATTGATATGTGACTCAGTAATTGTCTTTGTTACCCATTCGTAAGGTATAACTTCAAGTACTCTTTTGCACAGGAAATATACTCATTCGTGGAGTGAAATGCAAGCGATAGCTATGTAGCATGCATGCAAATGCAATGCGTGTATGTTATGCATGTCGCACGTACGTAGGCTAATTTGCATATCACACTCACATCACAGAGAGGCCTACGTAAGTACTCCCACCGTTTCAGGTTATAATATAAGATATTTTTGACTTTGGTCAAAGAAGTCAAACTGCTTCAAATTTAACCAAGTTTATAGAAAAAAAAATAGTAATCTTTTTGACTTAAGATAAATTTATTATAAAAAATATATTTAATTACTAATTTAATAAAAGTAATTTGGTAATGTAAATATTACTTAAATTGTCTATAGTAAAACTTGAAGCAGTTTGACGTTGACCAAAGTTAAAACATCTCATAATTAACCTGAAACGGAGGAAGTACCTTTTGGTTGCTTCAGTCTTTTTTTTCACTTTTTGTTTGAGATGTCTTTCTTTTTTGGCCTACATAGTTGAGTACACCACACAGATGCTATTCAATCGTGTTCGCTACAAAATGTTGTGCCACCCCTTTTCAGAGGCTTGAGCTAGGGCTCTGTTTTCATGCACGCCATCAAAATATTTTTGAAAACAAAATAGACAAACATTTGACCACATATATTTTGGTGTCATACATCACTTTATAAACTAATTAACAAGCTCCATTTAAACATAGAAAAACACAAATAATTTAATAACTTAATTATATATGAGTAAATTTCACAAACTACATATATATATATATATATATATATATATATATATATATATATATACTTTAATCAATCTTTCACAAAACTACATATATATATATATATATATTTTTAATCCAAGCTAACAATTGCTGGTGCTATATTAAATAGGGGCAGCAATATATTACAAATTAAAGTGCAAGCAAGGCTTGTAGGCAGAAACTCAAGGAAAACACTATAATACCAAGGTGAGCTGCACTATGCTTGGATAGCGCGGCCAACTGTCTCAATCAATCCAATATTATATTCTCGCTAAATCTTTCGCTCCACACACATAGCCCTAGTGAATTTATGAGTAAATTTCACAAACTACTCATACTTTATTCAATCTTTCACAAAACTACATATACTTTTTTTTTGAATCCAAGACAACAATTGCTGGTGCTATATTAAGTAGGGGCAGGCAGCAATATTTACACTTAAGGAAAACACGTACTATGCATAGTACCAATAGTCTTAATCAGCTCAATATTCTCGCTAAATCTTTTGCTCCGCACATTGCCCTAGTAATTAATAATTTATGCTCTTATTCTGCTAGCAATTTGAGGTACGTGTCTATATTATTTCTTGGTGAAGATTGGACGTCGATGAGCTATTGAGTATGGCTAGCTAGCTATTGATCATGGATGATGAGCTTGGCCTTGGAGTCACCGGCCAGCTCGCCGATCCGATACACGTCGCCTATCCCCATGTGCGCCATGAGGAACCATGCCATGGTGATGAGCTCGCCGCCACGGCTGAGCTGGCGCACGTGTGTGCTCCCCTGGCACTTGCCGGCCGCGTAAGTCAGCATCTCCCTCCACACTCCGGCCACCACCCTCCACATGGTGTCGTCGTCCAGCTCCCGGAGCACCTTGGCCAGGATGCAGGCGTCGAACAGCACCGACTTGCTCCGGTCGCCCTTCACATCGGCCGGCTTCTTGGACGTGTTGACGGAAAGCAGCATCCGGCGGGCGTCGTCGTGGTTGGGGTCCCACGCCTCCGCCGACTTGAAGAAGCGGCGCGCCTCGGCGCACGTGTCCCGGTAGCGGAGTAGGCCGATGCCGGCGGTGGCCGACAGCATCTCCGGTTGCCTGACGAGGAGGTAGAGCATGTACTCCGACAGGGTCTCGCTGATGGACATCAAGCCGATGGTGTCGAGCATCCGAGGCCCTTCCCGCTCTCGGTGACAGCATAGGTCAGTGGCGATGTGCCATAGCAGCAGCGACTCGTCGAACTCCCTCCCGATGCTGTTCCGCAGGACGCCATCCAGCTTCTCCTTCACCAAGTCGTCTATCTCCTTCTTCTTCTTGTCGGCCAGCTGCAGGACGTCATGTGTAATCTCCTCGGCCTCCTTCTTCTTGGTTGTTGAGCTCGAGCTCTCCTCCTCCGTAAGCCTAAGGTTGAGCTCCTCTCGTGTTGCCTTGGTCAGCTCCATCTTGATGTTTCGGAAGAGGCCCTCGTCATCCAATAGGGTCCCCTCGCCGCGGTAGCCGCGCAGCTTCTTCAAGTAGTAGTCCTCGGAGTCCCTGAATTTTATGGCCTCCCTCTGGAGACCAACGAAGACATACGCAAGGGCATCGATGGTCGTCGGCGCCCTCTCATCCCCCTCCTTGCAGTTGCACCATCGTCCCCGCCTCCCGATGACGCTCACCATCGTCACCGGCTTGCGCTGGATAAAGAAGAAGTCGTCCAAGGTCTCCCTGACGCCCACCTTGTTGGCGACCCAGATGAGGAACCGCATCACACTCGGCGGGATCGTCTTCCGCCTGCAGCACTGGCGGCGGCGACCCTCCTGCTCCTTGGGCTTGCCTAGGCAGTAGCAGATGAAGTTCAGCTGCGAGGTCCGCTCCGACCACCGCCTTGGCTGCAGCCGCACGGCCCTGGCCACCCGGGAAAGCCACGCCATGTGCTTGGCTTCGAGGAAGACGATCATCCGGTTGGAGCAGAGGAGCATGAGGATGGCGGCCACGTCGAGCGCCAGCCCGCCGAGCAGCAGCGCGTAGGTGATGCCACGGTCCACGGGGAGGATGCCGGTCTTGTCCAGGAGCACGAAGAGGACGATGGCGACGACGAGGCAGGTGGTGCAGATGAAGCGGAGGACGCAGCCTGCCGAGCTGTGGGACACGGGCGCCTTGGTGTACACCATGTCGTAGAGGTAGTTGAGCTCTATCTCCATCACCTCGAACGCCTTGTCCGCCGTCATGTCGCGGCGGTCCAGGAAGTAGGCCTGGCTGATCCTCCTCTCCTTGTAGCTGAGGTTGATGTCGACGTACAGCACCCGGAACATGGTGAAGAACTCGTACGCTATTGCCTCCAGGCTTTTGGTCGTCTCCACCAGCCGAACCTCACTGCCCTGCTGCAACACCTCCTTGGCCTTGCTGGCCTCGCCGTTGGCAATGGTGATCTCGACGAGAAGGCCGCCATTCCGCTTGCCGCCAAACACGGTCATGAGCTTGGCGTAGTTAGGGCCAGGATCAGGGGCCCGGAAGATTTTGGCGATGACACCGTCCACACTGCCGGAGTAGAGCGAGTAGGTGCGCTCGCCGTACTTGATGACGCCGACGACGAAGATGAGGGCGGTGGCCGGGATCATGGGGTTGCTCCTGATGGAGCAGGAGAAGACGACCAAGGCGGAGAAGAGCTCGAAGAGCAAGCCAATGAGGTGGCGGCGCCAGAGCTCGTTGTCGTCGACGGAGTAGGCGGTCATGGTGTCGGGGCCGCCCAGGTGGAGCAGGAGGAACGGCGTCCAGAAGGCGAAGATGGGCGGGCCGCCGCCGGCACCGGCAGAGAGGTGGCTGCTGCTGCTGCCGATGTTGCCGAGGTTGTTGAGGAGGAGGCCGAGGGCGAGGTCGGCGACCCAGTCGGCGAGGAGGTAGCATGCCCAGATGGCGAAGCACGGGACAGGGTGGGAGGTGCGCTTGCGCATGGGCCCCACGAAGATGAGGATGACCTGAAGGAGGAGGCTGAGCAGCACAGCCACCCGGATCTCCCACTCGCTGTCCTTCTGCGGCACCGGCGGATTGAAACCCATCCACCGGCCACTAGATCCCTTCCTTCCTTTTAATTATTTCGATCGATCGATCGATCTTGTGCTCAGCTGCCTATAGCGCTCATCATGCGCATCCACGTCCACCCAACATAAATTAAATTAAATTAACTAAGACAGATATCATGAATTCATGATTATGGATGGGAGTATATACTCTTAGGGCATGTACAACGGTGTTTATTAGTGGTCTCTCTATTACCATGCAAGTAAATTTGATGACATGGATGAAAGAGAAAGGAGTATGGTTGTTATTCATGACAACGGCTCAGAGTCGACTCTTAGAATTTATTAGAGCAAATTTTGTTGCATGGTGGTGAAAGAAAGGAAAGAAAAGTAAGAAAACGTATTTGGATACATTAATGATTAGAGACCATTTTATTTATAACTGTTGTAGGATGCTAGTCTCTAGATAACTAGAGCTTATATCTGACTCTACCTTTGTACATGCCCTTATATGGTAAACAAGAGAAGAACGGAAGAACACACCTGCATTAATTATTGGCATTATTGATTGTTGTGCACATACATATGTTTGCCCCAAAAAAAATCTGGAGGAAGCCTTACTACACCTTAAAAAAACTAGCTCAAGAGGTGCCTTTTTTTTAACAAATTGATTATTTTCAAAAACTTATTTCGAAACTAGTCCCAGAAAAAAACTTCAACAAAAAAATAGGCCGTGGACTTAGCGCCATAGACCTTGGCGCTGAGATATAACGTGTCAGCGCCAACTTTATTGGCGCTAAGCTCTAATCCAAGGTGGCACGAATTTGCTGAGTCATCATAGCTCAGCGCCAAATAAATCGCGACGATTTAAATAGTTGCGCAGGCAACATATGGAAGCAAAACCGTTATAGCAGGTGGTTGATGGCTTAGGCTGTGAGCCCTAGGGTGCTAGGTTGGAATCCTGGTATCCCTCCTCTCCTATTTTCTTTTGTATTTTTGGGTTTTTTCCTTTTCTCTTCCTCCTAGCATTCTTTTAGAATTAATATGTTTTCTCTTCCTCCTAGCATTCTTTTAGAATTAATATGTTTTACAAAATAAGTTTTGTTCTCTTGACTACTTACTCTTATTCTTTTCAAATTTCTATAATTTGTTTTATTTTGAATTTGATTTGGAATTTCAGTTTAAGTTCTCATTTGCTATATAATATGCCACTTTAATATTTTTTTTTCTAAATTCAAAAAAAATATATTTTGAAGATAGTATTACGAGAAAAAAAAAGAAAAATAAAGATAGAAAAATAAAACGAGAGAACAAAAATAAAAAAAAAACATATTAATAAAGAGTGAGAGAGAGAAGAAAAAGGAAAACTAAAAAGAAAAAAAATAGGACAGATGGGAATCAAACCCTGCTTAATCCTAGATTAGAGTAGAACTCTACAACCATTGTGCTATCAGTCGGACATTGCTAGAAATCCCTCCGCATTAATTTAACTCGTCGGGACCTCAGCGCCAAGTTATTTGGTGCTGAGCTACGATAACTCAGCGAATTCATGCCATCTCGGATTAGAGCTTAGCGCCAATATTTTTAGCGCTGAAAAGGACTAATTTGTTAAAAAAAAGGCAAGAGGTGAGGGACTCCTTTTATATTTAAGTTGGTTTAACTCCCCTTAATTAACTAACATGGGATTTATTCCCAACAACATACATACGCAGGAAACTACTATATTTTTTTCGTGTCGTCTAAATACTTATAAAAGAAACTATAAAAACTTGATGAGATAGATTAATATGTGATATATTATCACACAAACATACAAATTTAAATTTAATTTATATAATTTGCACAAAACAAACAAATTAAATATGACTATAAATATACACATACGAGCTACATCAGCTTAATTTATTTGCAACAGTAAAAGCCGAAGTTGAATTTTTATGTTTATGAAGCTGATATGTTATACATTAATTTATCTTGTTATTTTTTTCTTAAACTTTTTGTACATTAGCTATTTAGAAAATATGCAAGAAACGAATGAATATATCTTTAAGAGAGTTATGCGAGCTATATAGCAAAGCTACTCAATAGGAAGGAATAATTAGAGGTTGAGTGATTGAAATGTCGCACCTGTGCTACGATCGATAATGCATATGTGTCGTGGATGCAGTACACACTTGACTTGCTGCTGCAATAATTTGTTAATTGCTGAATGAATGGTAGCAGCAGTATATATATATAGTGTGCATTTGATCTAGCGATCCACGATCGACATGCTTCTAACTTACACAGTTTATATGGAATAAGTCTTTTTTTTTCCTTTCCAACAGAATTAAAGAAAAAGAGTAAAGTGAAAGTAAATCTGGAGTACTCTGCTTGCTTTGCTATCACAGAGGAATGAGTTCGCTCGCACGTATCACGAATGGAATTGGAATGATAGGGACTTAAAAGTTTAGGTCAAGTCCCTATCACATCGGATGTTTGGACACTAATTATAAATATTAAACGTAGATTATTAATAAAACCCATCCATAATCTTGGACTAATTCGCGAGACGAATCTATTGAACCTAATTAATCCATGATTAGCTTATGTGATGCTACATTAAACATGTGCTAATTATAGATTAATTAGGCTTAAAAAATTTGTCACGCGAATTAGCTCTTATTTATGTAATTAGTTTTATATTTAGTCTATGTTTAATACTCCAAATTCATCCGATATGACATGGACTAAAGTTTAGTCCCTGGACCCAAACACCACCTCAATCCAATATTGTCACACATAGCCCTAGTGATAATTTCTTCTGTTATTCCGCCAGCAATTTCAGACGCCTCTATTTGTTTCTTGCTGAAGATTATCCTGTTGCATTCGCTTCAAATTTCCCAAGCCACCAGGATTGGTGTCATCCTCACAATGCTTTTGACTTTCCCCTGCTGTCCTGGCGTCTGCACTGTGCATCTGTCATTGCTCAAGCAAGGTATCATTGGCGTAATGGTTAGTGTTAACTTGATCATTGTGCAGTTTTGGCGCCACTGCTTGCCATATATTTTCTTGTGATGCTGGGCAGTTCTTGAAGCGATGGCAAAGCTGAGAGAAGTAATATTTTTCAGCTACTCTCTTCGTTATAGTCGGTCAGATATCCCGATCCTATTTTTCATAATTAAGTAACCATGTAAACATTTTGTATTTTGATGGAGCCCAGGTCTTCTAAATTTGTTTTGACCACTGCGTCAGCTTCTTGATCATCGAATTGTGCTAGGTAGGCTGACCTCGTTGTGAAAGATTTTATATATATATATATATATATATATATATATATATATATATATATATATATATATATATATATATATATATATATATATAAGGATGTGTATTAATTAAAAAAACTACAAATTTAGCACCATATTTTTATAAAACTATAGATTTGAGGCATCTCATCATAAAACTACAAATTTATCAATTTTATCACAAAATTGCAGATTTTGTAACTTTTAAAAAGCAATAGAGTTAAGATATGTAGTTTTTGATAGCTTTATCAGTAAATCTACAATTTTGTGATATGATACTTTAAATTTTTAGTTTAATGATAGTTTTATAAAATGTAATCCTCACATATTAAAGATGGTAGCGGCTTTTCCCCCATGCTGTACCTAATTTAGTTGGACACTTTTAACATCTTTAAAAAGAAACATAAAAAGAAAGCAAGCAAGGTCGTTGTAGTATAGTGGTGAGTATTCCCGCCTGTCACGCGGGTGATCCGGGTTCGATCCCCGGCAACGGCGTTCTTTTTTTCTTCTGTTGCCATTTCTCAGCATTTTCTGCATCAGTTCTGCTTTTTATGTCCATTTCATTTGTTTTTCTTTTCTCAGCATTTTTTGCTTCTTGCTGCTCTTCTCTGAAGCTGACATGATCGACTCTCCGTGTATCCTCGAACTCGAATGGCTATGAAACAACTAACATTAATCTCTTTGCCTACTCTGCACTACGTATATTTATAGGGCCTCATCGGATAGCCAAATGCTTTGGCTGCTCAACCATTTATGCAAAATAAGCTAACCAATATGCATTAAAGTATAGCTGAATTAGAGGCAGCGCGGATACTGTTGGAAATACAGACATATATCGGCAATAGCATATTGGTATGAACAATGTAAGATGATCTAGTGATAAAATTAAACATAACCAGGAGCATGCTTAGAATAGAATAAGCATCATCTTCACGGAGAGAACGCAATATTATTGCGACTAACATAAGGAACACAAACAAAGATAGCGGTAGAAAGTTATACCCTGTGAAAGTCCCTCCGCTGGATTGTGATGCAGAACTGCCTCCGTTGGTGTTGTCGATCGGTGTGCCAGCTGTAGGTCCGTTTGTGCCATCTCCAGCAGTCATGGTGATGCAAACGAACGGACGGCGAACAACAGAGGAAGAGGACCAGTCGTGCGGAAGCACTCCCCAAAAACCTGATCACCCGCCTACCCGGTGCAGATCTCAGGCGAAGGTGTGGTTCCAGAGGCCTTGCTTGTTCCGATCTCTCGTGCGCGCAAGCGATCAGAACCGGGGAAGCAAAAGCAACATAGTCGCAAGCAGGAAGAACCAGCGATTGGAAAGTTAGCGTGAAGATCTGACCGGGGTGTCCTTGAACTCGAATGGCTATGAAACAACCAACATTAAACTCTTTGCCTACTCTGCACTACGTATATTTACAGGGCCTCATCGGATAGCCAAATGCTTTGGCTGATCAACCATTTATGCAAAATAAGCTAACCAATATGCATTAAAGTATGGCTAAATTGGAGGCGGCGCGGATACTATGTATTTAACATAGAGCGCATTTAGACTGTAACAATTACTCTACAAATAATTTATAAAAAATATTTTAATTCCCTTAAAGTTCCATAAAAACTTATTCATTGTTGGCTTATTAAAAAGACATTCACCAAGCTTTCTTTTTTTTTTCTAAAAAATGTTTTATGGAATGTGACTTTCACAAATTAAAAAAATTCCGTATATATACACTGTTAAAATCTATCGAGTACTAGGATTAAGAATTTTCATCCTATCTTTATCCTTCTTATATCATACATTTAATTTAATTATTTATTATTTTTCTATACATAAAGAAAATCGTGCATAAATATCTTTGAACGAAACTTGCTCATGCGCTAGTAATCGTCTGAAATAATTAAGGTAGACTTGAATTCGTGGTCATATATAAATAAAATAATGGCTAGCATTTTCAGATGCCACTAATCGCTGTGCTTCACATATTTCAAAGAAAAGAAAAAGTCATTTTACAATATGAATGAAACATTTTAGCAACATAGCCTGTTATTTTAAAAACACAAGCATGAGCTATAGTTATGAGGAATATAAATTCCTTTTGATTTGCAAAGAGGACGGGTGAATTGGAAACCTCTAGAATCTGGATGTTGTTGCTACTGTCTCTCTTCAAGTTGCTACTAACGTAGCACTACATGTGAACGGTGATTAGCTTATCTTTTTTACTATCCGTAAATTCCTGATTTATCTTAAACTTTAACAGCGCCAAGCGGCCCAATCAACTAATCTCAAGCCGGCGTTTTGTCGGATTTGGATTGGATCACGAGGCAGGGTTGGATATGAAGATAAACTGCAGCTATGAGGTAAAAAAATGACGTGTGAGGTGAAAAAAAACGAAACATCAAGAGACTTCCCGTGGCCGCAGCTTCAAGGGAATTAATCCACCTGATCATTAGAACCGTTATATGTCTGTGTAACTGAAATCCCATGTCGTAACTTGATTAATTGTTTCCATGTATTAACATATACTCCAACGTATCATAGCTATTAAGCTACTTTCTCCGTACCAAAATATAAACTTTTTTTAGCATGGTAACAAGTTAAACATTTTCAACTTTGACTATTAATAGTAAAAATATAAAAAAGATCATATCATATAAAATTGATGTTACTAGATTTATCATTAAACAAACTATCATAATATGTAACTCTTTTTATTTAAAACATCACTTTTATAGATATTGTTAGTCAAAATAGTATCTCGTAGACTGTGTCAGAGTCCAAAAATACTTATATTTTAAGACAAAGGGAGTAGCTTATGTGAGCTACTCATTGAAAAATTGGCTTATATGTACAATTGTTAAAGAACATCGAATAAAAAATTTATATATATATGATAATAGCAATTTTTTTCAATGTTGGGGGTATGAATTTTTTTGAGAAAGGGCATGAAAATAACTATATGATGTGCTTGTAATAGTTAAGTGCACGCATTATATGTCCCAAGAAGAGACCGAATTTATTTATGTTGTGGAAAAAAGAAGAAAACTATGAACACACGTCTAGCTAATGGATGATAAATGAAACCGATTTTGTGATAATTATTCGAGAACACAAACAAACGGATTAAAATTATTTTCTTAAAAAAAGTAGGTATCGAGAAATTGATATTTTATACTATCATAAAACACATGTAAATATAATATACCATTAAAAATACTCCTTGCCTTCATAAAATACATTTTTGACTTTAAGTTGCTAATTTTGACGAACTATATTTTTAATAATCAAATTTTATGACATTAAAGGGACATTGAGTCTGGTATGGTTCGGAAAAATTTCAACATTAATATTATACACGGGCTATGAAAATGGCACGCCAACGAGTGCGCTTATTTTCTAAGTATCTACTTCTCCCGTTTCACAATGTAAGTCATTATAGTATTTTCCACATTTATAGTGATGTTAATGAATCTAGATGGATATATATGTCTAGATTCATTAACATCAATATGAATGTGGAAAATGCTAGAATAACTTACATTGTAAAACGGAGGAAGTAACAATCATGTCGTGATATGTATATGCTGCCGTCTCATCCAGTTATCAATATAATAAAAATTGCATAATCTGACAAAATTTGTAATAAAATTAGTTTGAACCCATTTTCGGGAAGAATACCAAATTAACACTCAGCTTTGAGCAGCAGTTACGTCTCGTGGGAGATGAGAGGAAAGGCCAACTCTAGATAACAGAAGCCCAATAGCAAATGGAGGCCCACAAAGCCCAACAAACAGGTCAGGCCCAATAAGAGGAGGCCAACGAAACCCGGCTTTGACCTTGCCGCGCCCGTTACCAAATCCGACGAAACCCACCGCCGTCGCCTCGCCGCCGCCGCCACCGCCATCGCGCGCTGCCCTGCTCTCCCTGACTCCATTGGTAGCCTCCGCGGAGGAGAAGGGGAGGCGGAGCCGGTGGGTGGCGGCGCCCTAGCCTTCCTCGAAACGGCGGCGCGAAGCCACCACCACCTCCACGGCGGAGGCGCTGCAGGCGGAGAAGGTGATGGACGAGCCGGACGCTCCCGCCGCTCCTGCTCCAGGTACGGGCCCATGTCCTCCTCCTCCTCCTCCTCGCTGTAGGTCCCAACGGCTGGGCGCATGCGCGGGCTTTTGCCTTCCGAAAATAGGGTTAGGGTTTTATCTTACCCATGCGCGGCGATTCGAGAGCCCGCTTCTTGATTTCTTGCCTCTGATGATGCCATTCATTCGACTAGCCTAGCCTGTGGAGTTCATTTCTTGAACCGTAATTGGCTAATTGCATTTGCACAGGTTTCTTTCCAAGCAAATAGGAGTACTGCATTTGCACAACGCCCTAATGCCATAGTTTTAATTTCATTCACCAACCTACCAACTCAACCCTGCTGAAAATTCTGAGCATTGAATTGCATTGAGAAAGCACTAATCATGCTTATCGGTATTTGCTTTCACGCTTCTGCAGTGGAGGGGGAGCCAAAGGGGAAGAAATCCAAGTCAAACAAAGGAAATAAGCATAAGCAGCAGGATTCCCTTTCTGCTGTATCCGATGCCAGTGCTGTTGTGACGCATACAGATTTGCCTGATGAATCTGGAAATGGTTGCACGAGCGGGGAAGGTGCCACCACCTCCACAGCGCCGGCGCTAGAGGCAGAGAAGGTGGACAAGCGGGAGGCTCCTGCTGCATCTGCTTCAGGTACGGACCATCTCATCCTCGCTGTAGGTTGCTATGGCTGTGAGTATGCCTGGGGCTTTTGCCTATTGTTACAGCCTAGGTTTAACCACGCGCATCCATTTGAGAGCGCAGTTCTTGATCTCTTTCCTGTCATGCCATTGATTCCATGAACCCTTTGCGAGCTCAATTCTTGAACTGATATTGCATTTGCACCTATAAAAAAGTACTTCATTTCCACATTGCCCTGATGCCATAATTCTAATTGCATTTCGCCTACTTGCGCATCACACCCTAATGACACTCTCAATAGGGATATTTGTTCGAATTGCATTGAGCAAGCAGTAATCGTGCTTATCAGTATTTGCTTTGACACTTCTGCAGTGGAGGGGACGCAAAAGGGGAAGAAATCAAAGGACAAGAAACGAAAGAAGCATAAGCAGCAGGGTTCCCCATCTGCTGTATCCGATGCCAGTGCTGTCGTGACGGATACAGATTTGGCCAATGAATCTGGAAACGGTTGCACGCATGGGGAAGGTGTATTACGAGATGCTGATGTTGCGAGTTCCAGAAGTGGCAATGATCTAACACCGGATGTGGATCGAACGCTGGGGAAGAGCAAGGCGTCGAAACGGCAATGCGATGCCACCACGTCCACAGCAGCAGCGCCGGAGGCAGAGGAGATGGACGAGCGGGAGGCTCCTGCTGCTTCTGCTTCAGGTTCGGACCATATCCTCCTCGCTGTAGGTCGTAAAAGCTGTGCTCATGCCTAGGGGTTTTGCCTAAGTCTAGGGCCTTGACACCTAGGATTAGGGCTTATCGATGCATGGCCATTTGAGGGCCCAATTCTTGATTTCTTCCCTCTGATGCCATTGATTCGACGAGCCTTTGAAAGTACAATTCTTCAACTGATACTGCATTGTACAGATTTCTTTCAAAAGAAAAATACTGCATTTGCATAACGTCCTGATTCCATAGTTCAAATTGCATTTCGTCAACTCCACATGTTGAAATTCTGAGTAAGGTATTGGTTTTAATTGCGTTGAGAAAGAATTAATCATGCTTCTCGTATTTGCTTTGAATTTTCTGCAGTGGAGGGGACACGAAAGGGGACACGAAAGGGGACGAAATCAAAGGACAAGAAACGGAAGAAGCATAAGCAGCAGGAATCTCCTTCTGCTGTATCCGATGCCAGTGCTGTTGTGACGGATACAGATTTGTCTAATGAACCTGGAAATGGTTGCACGAGTGGGGAAGGCGCATTACGAGCTGATGATGTTGTTGCGAGTAGTGGGCATGATCCAACACCAGAAATGGATCGAACGCCGGGAAAGAGCAAGACATTGAAACAGCGGCGTGGCGGTGCCATCTCCACGCTTGCGGTTCCGGAGGGGGATAAGGAGGTGGATGAGCAGGAGGCTCCTGGCGCCTCTGCTTCAGGTATGGACCGTTCCCCCCTTGCTGTAGGTTGCAACAGCTGTGCGCGTGCCCAGGGCTTTTGCTGATGGCCACCTAGGGTTAAGCGGCTATTTGAGAGTCCAATTCTTGATTTCTTGCCTCTGATGCCATTGATTTAACGAGCCTTTGTGAGTTCAGAGTTCTTTCATGAACTGATATACCATCTGCACACATTTTTTTCAAAAGAAAAATGTTGCATCTACACAGCACCCTGATGCCTTGATTCTAATTGCATTTCACCAACTTGCTGACCATGTCCTCATGAATTCTGAATGTAGTCTTAGTTCAAATTGCGTCTAAAAAATTAATCATTCTTATCAGTATTTTCTTTGAGGCTTCTGCAGTGGAGGGGGCGGCACCAAAAGGGAAGAAATCAAAGTCAAAAAAACAAAAGAAGCAATCCCCTTCTGCTGTATCTGATGCCAGTGCTGTTGTGATGGACACAGATTTGGCCAATGAATCTGGAGGTGGTTGCAGGGGTGGGGAAGGTGCATTACAAGATGCTGATGTTGTTGCGATTCCCAGAGATGGGCAAGAACCAAAATGTCCTGAGGTAAACAGTGCTGAAGATTTGGTGGCAGGAAAGAAAGGGAATAAGGATAATAACTCCCAGCTCTGCAGCTCGTTGCATGAGAGTTCTATAGAAAGAAAAAGGAGAAAGAATAGAGATAGGCGGAGGAGAAAGAAGGAAAATGCCAATAGAAGGAGCAATGTGCAGAATCCTTCTTTGCTACCTGGTGCTGGTGAGGTTGTCTCGGTGGCAACAGCTGACATGAATAATACTCCTGGCTCTAAATGCAAGAATCCTTCGCAACCTGTTGCTGACGAGGTTGGATTGGTGATGACAGCTGATGGAAATATTTCTCTAGGCTCTGAATGCAAGAAATCAAACAAAAAGATGAAGAGAAATCAAACAAGTGTTCCTGAGGCACCCTCGGTGCAAAGGATGGATTTGGGTGAGACTGCTTCGGTTGGAGTGATGGATGGTGAATGTGAAGTTCAAGCTGTCTTATCCGATTGCCAAAGTGCAAGGAGCGATAGATCAAATATAGCTCAGGCACACAAAGAGAATTTTCGGCACATCTACTCACCAAGAGGATCATTGATAAGATTTCGAAGGAAAAAACTTCTTATTCTAGATATTAATGGTTTGCTTGCGGATATCAATCAGGACCACCACAATGCTCACCTGTCACATGCAAAGGTTCGGGGAAAATTAGGTAAGGTTGCTTATTTAATACTTGATACACAATTATATTTGTACACATACTAGTGTTCTCTGTAAATAAAGGACCAACATATCAAATACAATATACTAATTTGCAATGGCTTATCGTTTGTGTGCCAGTCTTCACAAGACCCTACTGTGATGATTTTCTGAGATTTTGCTTCGAGAACTTTGAGCTAGGGATATGGTCATCGAGATTGAAGTACTAATTCCTCTCCCCTACATCTCTTGTTTTTGCTAGAGTTTCTTGCATGGTGTTAATGACAACATTCTTATTCTGCAGAGCAAATGTGGATTCGGTTGTAAATATCATTATGAAGAAGGATATGAAACAGTCCCTATTATTCTGTTGGGTAAGTTGCAGAAAAGTATGCATAGTTGCTACAGCCTACAACTAAATTCATGGTTTCTGCCTAGCTAGTAATTGAAAGAAGGCCAAGTGGTTGTTGAAAAACTCCAAATTTTATGCTACTGTATTTTTTTTTTGTTTTAGTACTCTTGTTTCTTTTCTTTTTCTGTAGCTTTGGTTGCAAGTCAGGTCCTAATGCACACACTATAATTTGCCAGGACATGTCGAAATGCACTGGTACTGGGTTTAAAACTCTTGAAAACAAAAACAAACCATTAGTACTGAAGGAGCTAAAGAAACTGTGGAATAAAGAGGATCCTGATCTTCCATGGGAGCAAGAAGAGTTTTCACCTTCAAATACATTACTTGTGGATGATTCCCCTTACAAGGCTCTGGGCAATCCGGTACTGACTTCACCCCTGTTCCTATGCAATTTATATCTGTTGTGATAAGATCAAGTTGTTGTAATTCGCACGCATTATTCTTCTCCTGATATATGTATTTTGCAGCCACACACTGCCATTTTTCCTCACCCCTACAGCTATCTTAACAAGAAAGATGATTCATTGGGTATGCTCCATTATTTCAAGATCTATTTAAGTATTTATTTCTTATAATTGGTGCTCCAAAATGGTTAGTGTTGATGCCAATTTTCCATGAGCAGGACCAGGTGGAGATCTTCGGGTGTATCTGGAGAACCTTGCTACTGCAGATGATGTTCAGCGCTATGTACAGGAGCACCCATTCGGTCAACCTTCCATTACAAAGAGTGATCGACATTGGAATTTCTATGTGAAAATACTTGATAAACTGGAGAAGCCCTTTGCCTGATGGCCCCGTTTGGTTCAGTCTGCTAAGCATTGAGCATTTGCATGGGCATGAAGTTTTTGACCCCTGGTTCTGTTTGCTCGCTTGACACACCTACCTGTAGCTACTTTTGTACTAGTTCCGTAGAGCCTTAGACAATGGGGCAATTGCCCAGTTTTGATAGCTTGTTGTTTTGGTCCCTTCCTGTTCTGAACTAGTGATGAGATGGAAGAACGTAATACCTGTTTGCCTGTATTTCAGTCGCACGTACACTGAATCATTTAGTTTCCCGGCATCAAGGGTAACAGGGTTGTAATTGTTAGTTCCCATTGGAAAATTTTGGTGAACTATTTGTTGTAACTTGTAAGAATGTTTCAAGCTGTAACCTTTCTCCCTTGCACAAAGTGCTGTAATCTTGTAACAATCATTGAACTCTCTGGTAACCTCAATTCTGGCCAGGAACAGAACAAAATATTATCATTTTGAATGTGATTGGTTTGTCCAAAGAAGTTGTACGTTGCTCTGAAACGTCCAACTGTGGTAGGCCTTTTCAGCAATATTCGAGAGTGACCTTTTGTGCAGGACAAAAAGGATAACCTCTGAACCTATTGATCGTGATGATGGTAATTTTTATCGATTTGATTAGCAGGAATTGTGCCTCAGGATTTGCAGGTTCATGCAAAACCTGATATCTTTCTGTGAGACATTGAAAACATGGATACCAATTATCGCCAAGATGCTGTATGGACCATCAGGCCAACTCATCGCTCCAGGATCAAAACATGTCTCTGTTCATGCTTCCTAAATCATTATCTACACTGTTTGATAGTGCATGTTTAACTCCTCAGATACATGATACATGCTTGCAGCTGTTTGGCCTTGGATGGATGGAGCAAGAACCCATAATTGAAGACAGGAAGGTATGTAAGTTTACATGTAGATTGCTTGTCTTTGTACTAGTGATGAATGAATGCAGCAGGAGGCGCCTGATGAGTCTGTATGCTTAATGTTAAGTGCAGGTTGCAGAGTCACGAGGTGCTTGCTCAAGGTGCAGTGTGTCTGTGTGTGTGGTCACAGCCGCTGTACTGGCAGCAGCACATCCTGCCATCCTGGAGAAAAAGCTCCCACCTGATTCAGCCTAAAATCTTCAATTGCCTGACTATTCTGACAATATCAATAGTCTTTGCCACTTGTCAGCGAGTGTGATGAATGAGGGCAAATGAAGTAAGTAACCTGTATTTAGTCCCATTTATTTGTAATCTTGACTTAGGTTATGCCTTGTGCAGATTTGGTTGTGCTTAGTTGAACTTCTTTGATAGGTATAAATTTAATTTTTAAGACTATAGAATTTTCATGTTTTTTTTTTATTTTTTTCTTACTCTGAATATCTCGCCTTTGGTTCAGGAAGCTCAGTTAAACTCCCAGTATATCTATTCTACACCAATTAGTTTGCTGATGGTTCACTGAAGTGTGGGATATTTCCTGCTTTTCTTTGGTAGTGTCATTCATGTGTGAAGTTCTATTCTTGCTTGAGTTACTTGGAAAATAATCCTAGATGCCATTCCAATGGTAAAACAGTAAAATCATATCCATTGTTTACAAGGATACTACTTCACTACCCACATCAATGAGATATTCATAAATGGCAATTGACAAGGAGACAAGATGCAAATGCCACACGCATGACTTGCTAGCTCGGGAGACCTTTTGTCATCTTTGCTAGATTTTGCTGAATTCTTGTACTACTGTACTAGTAGTGGTACATCCAACAATGGCATATGTCTACACACATCTGGCCATACTGGCATACTATACTACAGTATAGTACTATACCAGTCAGTCAGACTGGACCTGCATGCTGTGAAATGAAATGCATTTATCAAACACACCAATTCAATTGCTGCTCTGCTCATGGTTATGCATGACTTGTGAAAATGGCAACATCAAGAGATGATGGACCACACCACACCACCATGAAGACTGTGATGCAGCTTTCTCTGGAGAGGTAGCAATAAGCATATCACTTTCAGTGATAAGGGCACAAAGCTCTTGTAGATTTGCAGGTGCCCTGTATATCTCTGTGTTCTTCCTTGCTCAGGAGGTTAATTGTACACATCGTCTCATGCAGCATGCGTGAACCTTGCCTTTTCTTTTTCCCTTTTGTGATTGCCTTTTCTGTTCTCTTGGCTAGCAAGAGCACGATTAGTTTAATACTTAGCATAGTAGATTAATTTTTGTTTTGTCATATGCATCTTATAGATGACCCAACGTCCAAGCAAAGGAGGGAGAAGACATGCCGTTGCAAACGGCCAAATGCATAGTTTGATGCATCGAGAAGTGAAACCACCCACAGATATAAAGAAATTCGTGAGACTATTAAATTGCATACTACTATCATCTTGATTTCACCAAATAACTAAACGAGCCAAAGGATGTCAAAGTGTCCATCTCTCCTGTCCTTAACGGTATTGCTGCAATCTCGATGCATCTTGGCTAAATGTTGATTAATTTAGTGATGATCTAGCTGGTCAATGCGATGGCTCCCATGTGCACTGGTGATTTATATACATACAGTATTGATTATGAAAAAACTACAGGTATGATATGCTTGGACCATACTGCAATTTTGACTGGCCTCACAATACTAGAAGAATTGATCACTGCTTGCCTGTTCGTTAATTAGCATTAGCGTGTCGAAGGAATCAATCAAGCTGTTTGAGGAGTCCTGACCTACCATGAACAACACTGATCTGGTCTTGTTAGGGATCACATGGGTGCTGGTGCATGTGGATGTAGATGTGGGTGGGGGAAGCTTCTGATGCAGAGAGAAAGAACTGTGCTTCATCATGTGCCAGCCTAGCTGGTTGCAGACAGGTCTTTTGTTTGTTTGATTGAACATGCTTGGTGATTATTGAGGGGGGCACCTTGTGTCCTGTCCTTGATAATTTTGCTACTAATTGCTATTGCTATTTGCCACTGCACACCTACATTTTCCCCCCATGTGGTGTTGCTTGGTGCATCTGCAGTTCTTGTCCAAAAACCTAATTACTAATGATCTTCACTTGTATGATACTAGTATATATTCTTATCTCTAGGCATTCTGCAAAGTTCTTACCCTATCTGATTAGTTATTACCTTCCCACATTAACCTACACCTGTTTGGTAGTCATTGTCAAGCCGTGGTGATTAAGCAAAAGATCACATTTTAGTAGAAGTGAAGCAGGAGTCCACACTGAAATGTACTACTTGGAGAATAATAATCTACCAGACAGGGTGAGCGAGTGCCTTTTAACTTTATGTGATAGAATCAAATGAATGCCACATCATGATTCCTGCCAGGAAAGATAGAAAACCACTGGAAAGTAAAGATGGAGACAAACATCAGATCTTGCCTACTGCTGAGGGAATTTCTTAATCATTATTTTATCATGCTTACCAGAGCCAGTAATGGCTCTTTCACAATCACGTTTGCCTGACTGTACCAGCTGTTACAGGTATCTAAACAAATTGCAGGTTGGCGCATGAGGGTGTCTGATCAGGACAGTCATGTGTTTGGTGCAAGGAGAAGAGGTGTGTTCTTCTTGCAAATCCTTTTCTTTGTACAATAACTGCACATTAATTACTAGCAGTAATTTTGCATTGCGTATCATATCACGCTTGTTATCAAATTTAGTTGGTAGCTAAAGGGGTCCTCTATATGATTGATGAAGATGGATGAGGTATCTCATTCCACCCACTGTTCATCAATGATTTTAGACGACTGAAAGATTGTAGTAGTCCTGACAGAGAAATACTAGTATGAATGATCACTCATTTGAGTTGGTCTGCCTCTTTCACCCTAGTCGGAGACACTGTCAAATATACTCATCACTGAGTCACAATGTGTCATGTTCCTTTCACCCATCAGGCAAATTTAGTTCTCATCAAGATCTAATAAATATTTTAAGCATAAAAAGGCACCAATATTTGTAATTAGCTACAAGATCCACATTGGAGTAGGTAACTGACAAATACATACATCCTCTTTGGCTTCTCGCTTCCACTGAAAAATGAAAACCAGTGCAAAGTTCTAGCAAATGCTTCTTGGATTGTTGTTCATGCTTATTAGCAGTTTCTTCTGTTAGGTAAACACTAAAAATGTGGAATAAAAGCCATTTTCGTCATCAACATTCAACAGTTAAAACAGTGGCCTAACTGAAAGGCTAATAGTCACATTTCTTGTACCATTATATGGGGGTTACTTAGTCATTTCATTTAGCCATGAATCCATATAATCCATATGTCCCTATGCCTTAACATCTTGTTGAAAAAATGGTGTACAGAGAGGAGATCACTCCTGTAGCTCTAGGTCTGTGCATGGTTGCAGCAGTCTTGCAGCACAGCATGGCAAAGCACCAATACATGCTTCAAAGCCAAGAATTGCATCTGGTCTTGAGCTCACGGATGAACACCGTCAATGCACTGTTTGTTAGTTGGCCCTTGCACTCCTCCTCCCTCCCTCACATTAATGCCTCCTTGACTAAAAGTGCAGTGCGGTTTTACATGTACAGACAACAGATCATTTGCACACTAATGACACAGCTAATCTTTGTAAGTAAGGCCACCCTGTGAGATCATCTCACCAACCAGTTAGGAACAATAGGAGAATTTCTTTTACCTGAGCACAACTAACTCTTCAGAGGCCTTTTGCTTGCCTGAATGCCAAAATGACAAAGAGATGCTGATGTGGTGTGCAGCTTGTGCTGTTGTGCACAAACAGGCACCATCCAACTCTGATGGTGGGTAGGGCCAAGAAAGACCTTGGAACAGCACATGGGGTGCTGAGAAGAGAACAAAAGCACCCCTCTGCCCCCACCCTTAACATCTCCCTTCCTAGCCTGATGATGATGATGCGCTTGATACATACTTAGCCTGCTAATACAGCATTTCCAGTGTCTTTCTTGTGCAGCAGGGCAGTTAATGTACTCACATTATGCTAAATTGCATTAGAAAAAGGGAGCAAAGTCCTCCTCCCTCATATGGTGGTGACATCTTGCAAACCTGTACACTGCCTGGCCTCAAAGTCTCCTCTCCTTTCTCACCCATTTTTCTGAGCTTCACATCACAAGTCTTCCTTCCTTCCTTCCTTGTCGTCTGCTAGTTACTCCATGTCACACTAGTCTCACACAGGAGCAGCAACAAGAAGAGGAAGAATAGGTGGAGGAGGAGGAAGGCCGTTCTTGGTGCTTGTGCAGCAGCTTCTTGCACTCACACTTGTTCTCCAGTGAGGCCATTGATGTTCCTGATGCTCACACAGTCACAAGATCCCCTCCCTCTGGGCTGGTTCATTCATTCAGAGAAGATTTGCTGAGATGTTCTTGTTGGTGTGCTTGAGCTGGTAGCAAGGGCGCCACTGGTTGGTGGCTCCACCTCCCTGCATTCCTGGAATTTCTTGGGATTTCTCCTCCTCTTGAGGCGGTGGTGGTTGCTGAGATGCCGGCCAAGTACTTGCAGATGCTCGGGGAGGAGAGGCGGCCGGAGCTTCACCGGCAGCAGGCGGGGTGCGTCACCGGGATCCTGCAGGCGTTCGACCGCCGGTATCCCCTCGCCGCCCACCATTCCCACAATCGCCTTCTTCCCCCAGGTGCTTGCTTTGCTTCCCCCACTTCTCCTAGTGCTATTGCTCGGTTCAAAGATGCAATTTTTTTTTTACCTTCCTTTTCTGTTCATTCTGCTACATCGAGATTTTTTTAATTGTTTGCATTTCTCTGTACAATCAGTAGACTATCAGTCTTGATTTGACTTGTGTGTGCATAAAAGACTTGGTCTTTGGTGTTTGATATGTGTAATTGAAGGCTTATAAACCCATAATTGGTGTGAAAGATGAGTGAAGTTGCTTGGTCTCAGAAGCTTCCAAAATCTTCATGTCAGGGTTGTATGGATGGGTGCTATGCATGCTCCTGGTGTTCCTTCATCCTGCATTGAATTGCTAGGTGTTGATGACAATTAGTGAGATCTAGCTTTTTCCCCAATTTTGGGCCAGGTGCCGGATTTTACAGGTGCATTTAGTTTTTGTGAGAGTGAGATGGAAGTTTTTCTCTGGAATCTTTAGCAGCTACTAAGATTTTTTTAAAAAAATCTGTACTAGTGCTAAATAGCTGGGAGTTGGTCGCAGCAGCCGACAAAAGAGAGAGAGAGAAAGAGAGCCATTACACCCTGTAGACAGATTATTAAGAGCCTGGTTTTGGATAATAAATCTATCTCACAAATGTTGACAGCACTAATTATTAAATTACAAGAAGGTTCTTTCCGAGAAATGTGGCTGTTTGGATGAACTACGACATTGACATATTTGTTTTTTCTTTGTTTCATTTAATTTGTAGCCATTTGAAGATGTTTTTTTAATCGGAAGATCCCTTCTAATATTTCAATTCTCTGAAACAGCCCATGCACTGTCAAGCAGTCCAAGTGTTGGGGAAGAGCGAACAAGATATTCATCTCAGATTGTTCTTGTAAGTTTCAATATTTCTTCTTACATTCAATAGGCATGGATGCATTGTTTATTGTCTTCTACAATCTGTTTGACTGGCTGCAATCTGCATTCAGGACAAGAACATGAGTAAAAGCTGGATCGATAATCAAAGAGCACCATTAACAGTGGAGTTGTCGCAAGGATCTTATTCATCGTCGTCTTGTTCTTCGTCGTCCTCCCTTGATGGAAACAGATCAGGACAGCAAGACCTATCCTCCACTGATCGAATGCTATTTCCGGAGAAGCCATTCAAAAGCTCACCGAAGCTCAAGAGCTCTTCTGACAGTGACTGTGGAGTGGATTACTACCTTGATGATGCCCTTGCCAAGCTCTCAGCCCAACCTAGCTACCCAACTCTTGGTATAAGAAATCTCGTAAAGGATTCAATATATAGAGATACTCGTGATTTTTCAATCAGAACTTTCACCAAAGAGGCAGAAAAAGATCACCTATTCAATTGTGGAGATCCGCCTAGAATCTTGAATGAGCCTCCTAACAGTGCTATCCAAGAGAAAAACAAAGGAACCATGGACATTGACGAATCCCTCCGAGTTTTAGCCAAGCTCAGGAATCCATCTGAATCAGTCCAGCAACCAAGGCTATCATATGATGCTCCTCGCTTCTCGTGTGAAGGAAGGGAATCAGCGTCAAAACTTAGGGAGGTGCCAAGATTGTCACTAGACATAAAGGAAAGCCCTCTTAGGAACCGCGAAATCGACGTAAGGCCAAAGCCAAGCATGACTGATGAAGACAGGAGAAGCAGCATCAGTAAAGATTACAGTCCACCCTTGGAGACCCAGCAAGAACACAATGCCTGTAAACGTCTCCCTAGCGTTGTTGCGAAACTCATGGGGTTGGAAGACTTGCCAGAGCATAAGGACAATACTGCGATATCTTCACAGGTATCCAAATCAGTTACAGAGAGGAGTGAAGAACCCACCATGCTGAGGCCTTTGAGCCTTTCTTCCCAAAATGAGGCTACTCCTAGGCAGCAGAGGAATCTAGATGCAACAATCAAGAATGTTCCTAACTCTAAGTTCCCTGTGGAAACTGCACCTTGGAAACAGCAGGAGAAGATTGTGCTACCTAGAAAATTGCCGAAGGGATCAAAGGGAGCTCATGGAAAAGAGCAACATGCTGCATCAGTTTACAGTGAGATAGAGAAACGGCTCAAGGACCTTGATTTTCAGCAATCGAACAAGGATCTCAGGGCACTCAAGCAGATCCTGGACTCGATGCAAGCGAAAGGGTTGTTGCAGAACAAGAAACGTGAGGAACCATCGATGCCGAAGATATATGATGGAGACCATGATAACGGAGATGTGACTGATGTAAACCTGAGACTGAATAGCACCAGCAACACCAAACAGGCACCTGAAGGAACCCCATCATTTACAACGGAAGAAGATAGCACTACAGAAAGAAGCTTCAAATCACCCATTGTAATCATGAAGCCTGCAAAATCTGCAGACCTGTTAAGTGATGTAACCGAGGATTCCGCTGTTGGTCCATTAGGCGGTTTATCAGAGCTACCGCAGCTGAGAACAGCCAATAGTGCTGATAAAAGGAAAAGCTCAAAGAAGGTCACTAGGGAAGCTGTGGAGCAACATACCAAATCTAGTTCAAGGGCACCTACACCTCAACACCTTGCTTCTTTTGACAAGAGAGCAAATGGAAGGAATGAAGAAATTAGCAGGAAACAGAAGTCTACTTCACAGCTGATGACTGAGAACTCAGCTAGGAGACAGCAGATGCAAAGAGAAAATAATGGAAGCTTGCTAAAGCATAAAAATTCCACTAGCCCTAGAGTACAACAGAAAAAACCTGATTCAGAGCGGAGGGCCAGACCGCCAATTCCCTCTCCCGATTCAAGCAAGAATCAAAGGCAATCTGTGGAAAGGAGCCATTTGGATTCAGTATCACCCAGAAGTAAATTTAGAAGAAAACCTGCTCAAGCACAAGGTGAAGATTTCCATCAAAATGGTGTAAGTAGAAGGACAAGGAGCCTGAACCAGGAAGGCAATGATATGTCCGCAAGGTCAGATGGTAGCATAAGTGTTGCATCAGAGCTGGATGTAGAAGTGACAAGTACAGACAGATCTGCAGAAGTTAACATTTTGAGATCTCAGCATGGCACTCAAACACCATCAGGAAGGAATCCTCAAAAAGTGGTAAACAATTTTCCTTCCTCCAGTTGGCTCTTTCATCCATATTCATAGATGATGTTATTAATGTAAAAACACAGTATTATTCTTCCTAATTTTCACCTTCCTATTATCTAAAAAAATATTCACCTTTGTAACAGCAAAAACATATATTTTAGGAAGAGCTACAATATTTGGTCATAGTTCTTCTGTAAAATGAAATCTGTCCAACTCTAGTTGGGTTCAAGCTGGAAATTTGAAATCGTACAAACATACCATAACTCTTGTCTAATTATGACCTTTTTTAAACTTAAATTCAGAAAACCTCTTATGATGCAAACAAGGACCTGCCATCTATGGATCCTGCAGCAACTATTACTGAGCGGCCTAGTCCAGTCTCTGTATTGGACTCTTCGTTTGATCAGGAGGAATTTTTCCATACCAGCAAGACCACAAATTCATCTAATGTTGGTAAGATCTGCTGCTTCATACTACTTGGTTCATCGATCATATAAAGTGGAGTATTAGTACTTTTCAAAAGAAAATGGGAACTCGAATAGGTTTTCCGGAGTGTCCTTTGAATTACTTCCTGCTTTGATGTCTTAGTTTTCCAGAGTTGGTTGGTTATGGAACTTCTTGTGTAAAGGTTTACATGACTCATGTCTGCTGATGTTTACATGACTCGATAATTAGGTTTCTTCATATTAATTTTCGACAAGTAGTAACGCTGGCAGTGGGTTGAGGTTCACGTGCACATAGTAAGCAAATAGAGATCTCCTGCTACCAATAGTGTTCCTCTCATATAGAATGGTGTGTGCATTATGCACCATAGTTATAGGGTTTTGAAATTTCCTCAAGGAGGGAAAGAACATAACTGAGAGTTGACAAAAATCCTACTGTGGTGTACTATGATTGCACCTACCACTACCAATCAAAAGATCTCCTGTATGCATAGTTCCTTTACAATTTATCCACATGGCTTGCTAGATAAAGTGATATGTCGTAATGCAAGTATGCAACCCCCAAGTAATGTGAACAGTAGAGTTTCAATGATAGAGTGCTTGTCGTTTTTTCTGCAGTAGCATTAGGCACATTCTTAATTTCATTAATGTTGCAATATCAGTATGGAGTGCTAAAGAATCTGCCTTCAGACCAGCGATTAGTTGCTGCACGACATGTTGTTTTGACAACAGAACAAGGAGAATTACAAGGGCCGCAGCATTTAATGTACTATATTTGACACGGATGCGGAATGAATATCAGTTCAAGAATGCTTTAGTTTTTGTCTTTATGCATCTTTAGATGCATCTGCTGGGATATTATCATTCCATTATCTGAAAAAGAGAAGTAGAAAACGCATGAACCTAACATGGTGGACTGGTTACTGAAATTGTTACCAGTGGTATTGATATTGTGTTCCAAAGACTGAAACCTAATTTCTTGAAATTTGCAGATGATGAGCATCACCCATCACCATCAGAAGAGTCCTGCAAGCCTTCTGAAAAGAAGTCCACAGAGCTCCCCACACAACCCAAGAACAGCAAGCTCGCAAACATAGCCAGCCTCCTTAAGAAGCTCCAGCAATTGAGCGTAAACAAGGATGAGGCACCTCCTGTCGATCACATTGCCTTCTTGTGCGAGACGCCAAGCCCAGACCATCGCTACGTATCCGAGATTCTACTGGCGTCAGGGCTTCTGATGAAAGACCTTGGTTCAGGGCTGTCACAAATGCAGCTCCACACATCAGGCTACCCCATCAACCCTGACCTGTTCTTTGTTCTTGAGCAACGAAAATCTGGGTGGACATCCAAACCTGAGGGGATCCATCAGAGCAGGAGCACCACAAAGCCAGATGATCCCAAGAGAGCGCACCGGAAGCTAATGTTCGAGGCGGTGAACGAGCTTCTCCTTGACAAGTTTGAGAAGGAAACCACACTCATCACTGGAGTAGCAGCAAGGGATCCAGTGATGAGCAGCGGGCAGCAGCTGGTGAAGATGATATGCTCCGGCATCGAATGCCTGAAGACGGAGAGATCGCGCATGTGCCAAGAAGACAGCAGCGTGATCCCTGACGCAGAGATCCTCAACAGGTTGGAAGGGTGGTCGCCGAGCTTCATCAGGAGGGAGCTTCCAGGCATGGTGCTGGAGATCGAGAGGTCGATATTCAAGGAGCTCGTCGACGAGGTGGTGCGCGGCGAGTCCGCCGACGGTCAGCCGGCGAAGGCCGGAAGGCGCAGAAGGAGGCTCTTCGCTTGACAGTCACTAGTGATGGCTGCTGACTTGCATTGGAGTGCGAAGCGTGAAGCGAGTGTAACTGTGATACTGTACCTAGTAGTAGCATGTCCATTGTTGAGGTTTGATTTGTCCAGAGAGAGAGAGAGAGAGAGAGGAGGAAGAGCAATGCAGAAACCTGAAGTAGGAATGCAATGTTTGAGGCACTTGCCTAGTTGTTGTTCTGCGATAAATATTATAAGTGAAATTATAACCTGAGACACTGGCAGTTTTCTTGCATTGTGTTACTGTACTTTTGTTTTTGACATTTTACATCTTATCGCTGGAGTAGCAGCAATGGATCCAAGTGATGAGCAGCAAGGGATCCAGTTTTCTGACGGCTGCTTGCGAGAGTTTCCTTCCGTGATTACAAGGAAAAATAACCTATGTAAGTTTCCAAAAAACCTAAATGATACTAAGAAGAACTGGGTTAAAGGAGATTTGGTGAGAGAAAGCACCGAGAGGTACTTCTTAATTATCTAGAATGACTCGGTAGTTTCTTATTGTAGTATGTAGTTTATCTCCACAGCAATTGATCATTGTAATGTAATGATAACATCGCATTCCTCCTTGTTTTCCCTCCCTTCTGATGTGCATTGTAGCCTAATTCTTGACCGTCAGAAGAAGATCGGCGCCTGCAACCTAAGGAATGTGTGGGTCGCTGCTGGAGTGGCTTTTGCGGAATAATTAACTATTTGCCACTCTTACAAGTGGTGATAAATTATTTATCACTGAACCCACATATCATAGAAACATAAGGGCCCACATGTTATAGAGTTGAATGTCCCGGGTTTTGTTGGTAGTACATGTTTGGGAGCACAGCTGGTGCCAAATATGCAAGGATGGAAGGCGACGGCTTGGTTCAAAAGATAAAATGTGCTTGCGTGGTTGAAGCATCGGGAAAAGAGACACGGGTTCCACGTAAAAACTTTTCATCCTGTTGCATCGAATGTTTGGACAGATGCATTGAGTATTAAATATAGACAAAAAAAAACTAATTACACAGATTGCGTATAAAATGTGAGACAAATCTTTTAAGCCTAATTGCTGTATGATTTGACAATGTGGTGCTACAATAAATATTTACTAATGACGAATTAATTATGCATAATAAATTCATCTGTAATTTGTTTTGTTATTATCTATGTTTAATACTTTAAACATGTGTCCGTATATCCTATGTGACACGCCAAAACTTTTCAGCCGTATAACTAAACAGGACCTTAGTGTATCTATCAGTTGACCCAAGTTAAGTAATACGCCATGGAATAGGAAGGTGTACCCCTAGCTTGTTTTATAATGCACCATATATGTATCCACAAAGCCCAGTTATTATAATAATAATATTATTATGTACTCAAAATTCAAGTACCTTCTTTCCATGCTTAAATCGTTGTGGACTGGGATCCCCTTTATTATGCAGCTTCAGTCGATCATCACTAGAACAATGCTATGTTTAATTTGATGCTGGTGCGTATGCATTCGAACCCTTAATTTTAGTTTCACTCTTTCTTTGAGCACTTTCTTTTGAACGTTTAGTGAGTGAAGTTGATTATCAGAATGGGTTTATATATTTCCGCTGAAGTATGTGCGCATCTGTGCGACACTACACACTTCCTATGACCTCCAATACCATTACTCCAGAAAATTAATACTAACATTGGCATAAAGTGTCTGACATTAAAATATTCAGGCATAAAGTGTCTGACATTAAAATATTCAGGAGGAGTATTGATTCTATCTATATTATACAGTCTATAATCTGGTGTTCTGCACAAACAATTTTAAAAAAATACACAACAGAGCTAATTACACGGTACAATTGGTGAATAGAAAGGAAGAAATGAGCAAGCGAAGGTGCTAGGGCTAGGGGATAAAACGTAGTAGAAGGAACCTAGCCGAGCATAATATTAACAGACATCATTGCAAAGAATGAGAAAATTAGTTCCGAACCACAGGGTAAAAATCACAGGCCAAATTACTCCCTCGTTAAGTAGGATCAAAATAACCCAGAACAAACCAGAGGGGTCATTTGTCCAGTTAGGAGAGTTCAAGGTTGAAAATTCAAGAGGGAAAATCAGATCAAGCCAATATAACTCTCTAGTATTCAATTGGAACAAAATTATCATGTTTCGACAGACATATCATTTCACTTCTCATGGTACCGATAAGCAGAAATATTATAAAGGCGAAAAGAAAATTGATGACAATCAGGCCAATCAATATTTGATTGGGGCCAAAATATCTATCTGAGAACCCAGCTTCTCCTCAGCAGCTTTCTCAGCCTTGACACGAAGCCTTGTTAATTGCTTCCTCCTCTCGTATGCAACCTTAGCCTTCTCCTTTCTCTTCTCCTCCAATTCCTGCAGGTGCAATAGACAAGGTGATCAGTGTGCTTTCATGTATAAGAACTAAAGGGAAACATAAAAAGCCCAACCAGAATTGAGATGATAACAGCCTAGAAATGCAGGACATGGTTGAAATAATAGCACAAACTCAGAAACAAAGCAGATAAATGTATCAAACAGAATATTTTGTTGTGAGAAATGGCACAGTTGGTCAGAAGTAGCTGGTTGTAAACATCATTCTGAAAAATCAGTGAGAATACATGTATTTTTTCTTCATTTTACCAATCATGCCAAATATGCTATTTAACTCAACATGGATTAGAAAAAAAAACATGCTGTGTAACAATTGAAAAGGGGATGCAAACAAGAAAAAAAAAGATGCATTTGCAAATTCACAGCCATAGCATAAGTAATCACAGGTTTATGGGAATTCCATCATCTTTGTGCAAATAAATAAATAGGATACTTAAGATTTCGTGCATCATCAGAGTCATCAACTAATCTCAGACAGTTGAGGCTATGGTGTAAAACAAAAGCTAGAGAGGTGTACAGCATAAAAGTAGCTCAGCAAAAACCTACATATTCAAATCCAGAGCATGTTGAGTTTGAGTTCAACGCGTTACCACCGTACAGTTGTACAATCAAATAGCTACAAGGGCCCAATATTCACAAAAGTGATCACATAATACCATAACATTCCAAGATGAACTATTCTTAACAGTCCAACACATGTATTCAGCATTGCATTCATCCTAACACGTTCAGTTCAATAGTACTCCTACATGTATTTAGCATATCCATTCATCCGAAAAGTAAAAGGGGGCACATGTGTACATCATATGCATTCAACCGGATTGTGATTCGGTGACATTCCCCCGTGACATTGAGTCACTGACATGTGGGTCCAAACACATGTGGGTCCCACATATCAGTGACTCAATGTCACCGAGAATGTCACGGGGGAATGTCACTGAATCTGCGTCCCATTCAACCTAAAACTAAAAGCATTACAGCAGCATATGCATTCAAGCTAAAACGAAAAGCAGCGTGAATATGAATACAGAAAGGAAATGTACCCTGATGGTGTCGTGGTAGTTCCAGCCGACCTCCTTGGAGAGCTGGCCGAGGAGGCAGTACTTGTGGCCGGGCTGGAGGCGAAGAACCCTAGAAGCCATGGATTAGTTCATGGAGGAAAAGAAAAGGAGAGGAGAGGAGAGGAAAGGGTTCGAAGCGAGCGTACTTGAGGGCGTCGGGGACGACCATGCGCTTGGTGCGGTCGTAGGGAGGGGGGACGCCGTCGAAGGCCTTGAGGTTGGCGAGGGCGGCCTCGCCGCGGGGGGTCTTGTGGGGGATCATGCCGCGGACGGTGCGCCAGAAGATGCGGGAGGGGGCGCGGAAGTGGATGGGGCCATGGGAGGGCTTGGTGTTCATCCGCTTGCGGAGGAACCGGAGGTACTTCATCTTCTGCCGGACGAGCCCGCCGGAGATGCACATCTCCTCGCACCGCACCACCACCACCCGCTGCCCGTTCAGGAGCTCCTTCGCCACCAGCGACGCCAGCCGCCCCAGCATGTGGTGCCGCGCGTCCACCACCACCCGCCGCGTGCACAGCCCCGAACCCGACACCATCTTCCTCTCCTTTTTCTTCTTCTTCTCCGGTGGGGGTGGTAGGTGGTGGAACGCGGCGGCGGCGGCGGCGGCTGCGGAGAAGCGAAGCTCTAGGGTTTACGAATGAATCTCCTTTTATAGGTGGGGCATCGACGAGGACATAGATAATGGGCCGCACTGGACCTTGATGGGCTTACTTTTGTTTGGGCCTCCAACATGTTCCTTGTATCATGGGGCCTACCATGGGCTCTTCTACGCCTCATTCTTAGAGTTTTTCTGCTCCCAAGATACTAACTGTTCTTTTCTATATTTTTCAAAAAGGAGAAAAGAAAATGTTCTTACAGAGAAAGAAAAAGGATAATTCCAGTACATTGTGCCCTTCAACTACCACATTCCTTGGCTATTTTCAACGCCTATATATTTGCAAATGAGCATCAAAACAGCACAGACTGGTGATGGTTTACCAGATCATCTATATTTTTTTTAGAAATATAATACTACAAGATCATCATCTATATTACTGTAGGAAAACTGGTCGCACAGCTAACATTTGATTTCATGACAGCATCCCAAATACATTAACAATTGACAACGTTTTTTTTTCTTTTTTTGTTATTACTAAACAATAATCCTCAAGCAAATAATATGGTGCCATGCCAACATTGGTGTTTGCAAACCAGCTCTTTCTTCATCATCATTCGTCATCACTGTCAAAAACGACCGCCTTCCGACGATGAACTGCCTGCTGTTTTCTTGGTGGAGAATCATCGTCCGAGTCGATCTCCTTGCGCCTTTGGCTGGCACTGCCACCCCCAGATTCTCTCCTCCGTTTTGGTTCCTGCAGCAGAGGCTCCTCTTTCAGTTTCGATTTATATACAGCTAGCCTCATCATGTTTTTCTTTCAAGTTTGCTATATTACTACAACAAAAAACCAATCGTAGATTCCTTTCAGCTATTATATGCTAACTAGTGTGCAGAAGTAGTCAAACATGAACTGAGTACATTTTTTCTGTTTCCTATTGTTTCACTTCAACATAAACAAAGCAGCAAGTCTGCCTGCTGACCTGTTAATTACTCTGTTGCAGAACTACTGAGCATAAACTACAAAATGTCAGCAATGTAAACTAAAATACTATCAAAATTGGTCATATTCCTAGTGGTTACTGTCAAGATTCTTGAAAATCTTGTCCTCACATATGCTGCAAAAGTATTTAATTCCTTAATGTCTTTATTGGGCATATCCAAGAAAAAACCTGACTTGCAAAATTTGAACCTTACGACAATGTTCATCCGTATCATATATTCACATAATCACATTGCTAACTTGTGAAAAAGAAAACCAAGAGTTTTGAGGCCATGACATTGGTCTTACCTCAATTTCTTCATCTGACATGGCTGCTTCTTCTTCCACATCTTCCTCATATTCATCTTCTTCATCAAGCTCATCTTCCCTCCCCTGGGTTGGTGAGTGCTCAATATCCTCTCCTTCAGTTTCATACTCTGACTCCTCCCTTTCACTCTCAGAATATTCATTTGCCTGTCGTCTAGGCGGACGAGCAGGAAATGATGGTTTGCGAGGAATGTTTCTGCCCATACTTGACTGAAAATGTGCAAACAATACAGATTATGTATAAACAGCAATACATTGGTTAAAAATAACAAGGGTTACATGCTGATGAGTTGCTCACCTTCTTTGCACTAACTATGCGCCTCTCAGCTAGGGCTTCAGCCTCCAGTTCATCCTCAAAACGACTACGTGCTGGCATTCGGCGAGAACCATATTGATGGTCAGGTTCCTCGTCCTGCCAAAAATGAAATTGAATAAATTATTGGGCATAACCAGTACTAAAGTCTTATTAATTGTCACGTCGAATCCAATCTCCTGCCAGAATGCACCAAAAGGACAAGTTGCAAATCATCACAGCACATTTTACTCCTACAAAAACAGCTATTGAACACGTGTATCTAACTCTAAGGAAAAACATCATGTGAGCTACAACAGCAGAATAAAATTAACCATCTACCCAGAATCTGAATATGTAACCATTCAGTAAGGTACACTCACAGTTGAGTAAACCAGCTAAGCATAGAAAAAAATCTCACACAAACAAACTGCCAACATAATGATTCTATGTATCTGAGCCATTTACAGTAAGCTTAAACAAGTCCATATTGCCCCTATGAAATTACAGATAAACAATTTATGTGTACGTGCCATGGGCATACGATAGCAGCCTACATGGTTTCAAAAAAGGAAATAAAATTAACCAGACAAGAAAATTTTGGATATCATCGCGTAAATAACATGTAGGACTGAAGAGGATTTCAGTTTTCACTGAACAGAGTTTTTACCATGCAACAGCTTTAGGTCGGAAAGTGAAATTGAACTTAAATCACTTGCTAAAATCAAATAAGGAGTGGGCAGTGTTAATAAGATGTGGAGGGAAATTTGGAAGCATAGGAACAACTGTTTGTGGCAGTGTGCAACTCTGTATGTGGCAGCGGTGATCCAATCAGTAGCAAATGAAGGTGCACTTTGGTGCTTGCCTGGAGTTTCAAAGCTTCGAAACCTGTTTGCTAGGTCGATAGCCCTTGCGACTTAACTAGGTCATTCGGTTTGTTTGGTTCTTTTGTAAGACATGACGGTGTTTAGGGAGTGGGATTTTTTCTAAACTCCCCTGTGCCGCACCGCCCCTACACAGATCTCCTGCGTGTTCGAGAAAAGAAAAAGGTGTGGAGGGTCTTGCACTTTACCAGCATTATATTGCAGCCAAAAGTGGCCGCACAGCTAAATTGGAAAGACTGGCGATCATTCAAATGGCATTTACTAGTGAGATTTAATAGGATGCGTCTGGACTAAATATCATTTATTACTAATACTAGAACTGTATGAACAACAATAACTGATTGTATCAATGACCTTAAGCGGAAGAAATAAGAGAAATGACAAGAAACCCACCTCATCTAATGCATCTTCCAAAAATCCAGGAGAAAGCTGCCTTCTTTGCCTGGCAGGCTGTGTGTACTTGCGGCTAACCTTTTCTTTTTTGCGTTGAAGAATTGAATGGGCTCGAATATTTTGGCCCAAGGCCTGCATATTGAAAAGGGACAAACTTCATTCAAAATGCATATATAACAAGTTTAGAACAGAAAGGAAATACAGCAAAGCATGGAACAGGATTAAATGCATTTACTAAATCGGCATGTCAACTATTTGGTTATTGCGCCTTCACAAAAGGAAACTTAACCCTATGTGATTTACTTTTTGTGAAAAGTTCACTGGAGCAAGCCACAATAAATGCTATGCAGCGTAGCAGTAAGAACAAATCATGTTACAATAACTTTTAGACTCTCAAATCAAAGCTGAAACTCACAGGATCTAGAACGCGTGTTGAACTGCCACAGAAATTGAGCTAATTAATGCTTGCTTATGCATTGGAGAAAAACATGAAAACACACAAACAAGAGAATTTGCTGAATACAAATTGCAGTATTGTTGGAAAATGGGACCTGATATCACATTGATATTTGTTGGAATGACGACATAAATTTCTTACATCTTAGAACTCATCCTCTCATCATAAAAGGAAGAAAAAAAACAGAGAAAGCAACAAGATTGTGGAACTCATTCAAATGATTTCATAATGATTACATCTTTATTTTTAGGATAAATATGATGAAAATCTTGCTCTTTACCATTCAAGAGATTTACAATCAACATGCCAAGATTTGCATGTAATGTTTTTAGACACTGGAGAATCGTCAATTTACCAACTATAGCTAAAAATGTTATCACATGTTTGTGATCCAAGAAAAACAATTTGCTTGCTGATTGTCATGCTCTAAATTTGCTTGCTGATTATCCTGCTCTAAAAGCATCAACTGTCCTCTCAATTATTTTATATAGTGATCCTGACTAGCTATGCGCCCAAGAATAATCAAATTTGAAGCTCATATTTCCATGAAGAAGACCATTATTGTAGCTTGCAACATTAGTTAGTACTTTAGTAGCATTTCCTTAATGGTACTAGCTTACCAGTTATGCTCATATTCACTTGTTTGTCAGTTATCTGGTACAAATTCAGTATCTGCTCAAATCTCTCATGGTCAGATACCAAATTATATTTACTTAATTTGAAGTTTGCATTCTGACTATCTTGCTGATTATTCTACTCTATTAAGTATTACATGCATCCAACTCCTATAATCTAAAGAAATAAGGGAAAAAATATAAATGTTCATGTTACGTCAAGCCCAATGGCTATCCCCTATAGAAAAAAATGGAAAGTGAGTATAACACAACACAAATCATGTTGTTTTTGACATAGGAACCATATCAGAAGCAGCATTGGGACAAAAGTAAGTCATACACATGTCATTCAGTGTTGCATATACATCCAATGAATTAAGAAATGGAGTTTTTGGTTACCCTTTCTTTTTCCTGCTTCACTTTCTCAGGATCCTTAGATTCGATCCATTTTTGCATCTTAACAGTTTTCTTATTCTGAGAATCAACAAGAGCAGTTAATAAACGATGTGATTTCGAAGACAAGGAAGATGGCATGAATCTCATTTTCCGTAAGAGCCTTCCTTGTGATTGAAGGACTCCCTGCATTACAATTCAAAATTATATCAGGTTAGTGAGACCTATGCGGTAAGAGCATGAATGAACAGAGGTGGTAGCGAACATTGTTGAATTGCAGATAAGAAGTACTTTACCTTCCCATTCCTCAGAAACAGATGGGACTGATCATGATGTGCTTCATGTACAGATATATCAAGAACTTCATTACCAATCAGCAGCTGCATCGTTCCATCTTTCCATTTTACAATGCGCGCATTACTTTCACACTGCAACAATGCTCATTTATCATATGCATAGCCACATAGTGCACCGACCACCTGTCACAAACTACTTAAAAGGGCAATGACCAAAAAAAAGGAGGAAGAAAATGAAACAGACCAAGCATCTTATGGTATGTATAATAACATATATATTCTTTTGCAGGGAATACATAATAACAGTTGGGCAAGTTGGCTATGAGAGAAGACTCGGTGCAAGCATCACTAAAGGCTAGTTCACAACCCTGATTATTGTAAGAAAGTTAAGAAGCTGCCCAGAGCATCTTCAGGG